AAAATTATTGCATTATTATAAACTTTTAAAATTCTTGAATCTAAAAGATTTAAAAAGGACTAATCTGAGTCCTTCACTCAGAACACAGGGTCGCGATATGGAGAGAGCCTATAAAAGAGAAAAGAGGTTGGCTATCTGGGAGCGAGCTGTGGGTGTTCGCGGGTAATCCCGTCTCCTTGATGCCTCTAGTTTGGTGCCAGAGGGCAGAGTGGCGAGGGCTAGCGTGAGCCATTCGAGTGCGTGCACTTGGGAACGAGGCCTGGCTATTCTGAGTGGCTATGGTGGACCGAAATGGTCTGCGCGGTTACAGACTGAGATATATGAAGTATTCCTGGATGTGGGAGCGAAAGGACGAGAAGGGCACTGTAGTGGAAACCATACTGACCTACGGTAAGCCTGAAGGGGAGGTGAGGTTAAAAATTAACGTGTGCGACCGTAGGGAGCAGGAGATGAGGAGGGACGAAGGATTGTAGGCCGCGATTACTGAAGCGCGCTACAGGGCTGAGCGGAGGTGCAGACGTGACGGTGTGACTGTAGGGATGAGGGTGACCGTCACTTACCATGAGGATGATTCCTCAACTGGGACCACGACCAGGGAAGTACAGCATGGGGAACGGGACTCAGAGGGGGAATCCGAGATGAGTGACAGAGAGGCGGATGTCCAGTCCTGGCATGGGCTGCACCAGATTCGTCAAAACCACCCGCTGGCAGGCCCAGTAGAGCGCGGGCCCGAAGCGAGCTCACAACAGCGAGGGGACTGAGGCTAAGACGGGAGCAGTAGGGATGCGACCGAGAGTGGGAGAGAGCGAGAGGAGTCCCTCAGAGGTCAACACGTGTGAGCGAGTTGCAAAAAAGGGAAGGACGCGAACAGGTGAGAGGGAGAGACTACTCGTTGACGACACCTTCATCTCCGTTGGAGCGACAAAATCGTCATCCTCGCGTGACTAAGGTTGCTATCCTGGGAGGCATCGCCTTGTGAGAGTTGCTGCCGACGAAGTCAGTTCTGGACGAACTTGATCTGAGCTTGATCAAGGCAAGGCGAGCTTCTTGCCAGTCCTCGCACGAACGGGACCAGTGGCGATGGAACCACCCGCCCGCGGAATCAGTGGAGAGTGGCCCAGAGGCCAACTCGAGACGGCGAAGAGACGGGAGCCGCTAGACGTGAGACAGAAGGTCAAAGCGCGTTAAGGCAGTTAGGAGGGGGAGATCACCCGCAGGCAGGACGAGTGGAAGAAAGCCCTGGGGCTAGCTCGAGTCGAGAGGCGAACAGACCATAGCGACCTCAAGTGGGATTGTGAAAGGTGTGCCACAAGAAGGAGATCCTCACTTCTCTAGTCATGACGAGAACATCAATGTGTACATGTCTTCTCTGGCTAAGCACGCGGTCTTCAATATGAGCTTGGTCAGGAGATGAGTCTCTTCTTGAGTTCCTTACAGTCGTGTGGGACTGGGCTGATGAGTTGCCAGCTGTTACGAAGGTGGAAAGAGAAACGAGTAAAAAGGGAAGACAGAGAGAACAGGATCAGACACAGGAGAGAGAACGGGACTCCCCTCATTACTTGTTGACGTCATGTGTCTGACTAGTGCCGTGTGCAGAGGGGTTCCATTCAATCACTGTCAGTTGACGTCAGGTTCTTTCCCCTGAGTGGGAAGCTATGAGCGTGTGTTCCCAGCTAGTTAGTAAGTGGCAGTAAGTGGCTGGTGGGACATTGGGTTACTCCCTTCCCTGGCAGAGGTGCACGTGGCAAAGAGACCAGGGAGACTAAGCAGTTTGATCAAGAACGGGGAAGGGGTGCGACGACAAACTCTGGTTCTGCCTTGCTGACGTCCCGGACAGTGTTCGCAGTCACCACACGTCTTATGTTTTTGTAGTCAGGACACATGCTCGTGTAAGGGCTCGTTTCGACCATTATTGCCTCTTCGAGTGAACTGACGGGGAGTTTTCCCTGTTTCATGGACCCCGTGCGACCAACTTGTGATCAGGGGAACACTATCGTCCATTGCTTACGACGATACGAAGTAAGAGTAGACTGATAGAAGCGCGGTAAGCGATTGTGTTCGCAGAGCTATTGACGTTTCTTGCAGACTGCTACTTGTATCCGTGACCTTGCTACTCGAGTTGCTCTAGATTGAAGAGGAAAGATGGATAAACTGTATAAAGGCTAATGAAGAGGGGAGTCTTAACTTGCAGCCTGCTAAATGGGTGGGGAGGCGATCTTGGTTGTTGGTAACTCTTGAAAGATGAGCGGGAGAGAGGCATGCCCTGATGTTCTGTTGTCTGTTTCCCCTCTACTGCGCTTACCAATTGTTCAATTGTTCTCAGAAGTAATAATAAGACCTCATTTGGATCGATGATCGACATTTACGTTTTGAGTCGGTAAGGTTAGGATCCAACTATTGTCCCATTGCTCCAAGATGCGTGTAAATTGATCTGCAAAGCCTTTACATCTCTTGTGTTCGTGATCGGTCGCTGAGGCCGCTCCTAATTACTAGGGAAGTACTGGGCAGTGACTCGCTCGGATAAAATCACACAGGTTTATTAAAGCTTTTGGTTAATGAAGAAAGGAGGCGAAAAAGTTATTTAAAGGTTTTGTTAACCATCACTCCTATGTGGTGGCAAAAGTAGAGGTAGGTCGACGTATACTTGAGTCCTATCCACTAGCTTAAGCAGTTTCAAAGGAAAGCAATCTTGGATGGTAAGTCTTTTGTGAGAACTCGCGGAAAATAGAGTGTTCTCTTCGTGATTGGTCTTCTTGCTTGTGAGCTTGAACTCGAGTTACAACTAATTTTGGTTATTGTATTAGATGATCTCTTTGACTCCTTTCCACACGGAAGGATATGAGGTGACGCGCTTGAACCAAGTGATAACGATGGGAGATTTGTATAAGAAAAAGGAGGTTGAGCTACACCTCCATTGTTTTACTAACTAGGTTTTACGCTCGCAAAGTATACGGTTGGAAGACCTATGAAACTCTGTAGCCGAGAGGCTAGGCTTCGGCGCTACGAGTCGGTGTGTGTTCATACGATTACATGAATGTGCGACCGAACGAGTTCGCAGGTACTCTGGCAAGAGGTCTCGTGGGCTTGCAGATGCTAACATGAGAGCATGAGTAATCATGCTAGTGTGTTAGTGCCCAGGCGACTATGACAATTATAGATACCCACGCGAGTGTGATCGTGTAAAGGTTGCTATACCACTCCGATCTGTAGACTCTTATGTAAAGATTGCGAAGTCATGCACAGTTCAATGAAATAAACGGTCAAGTTTAGTTCACCACTTTAGCTGGCTTTGGGCTCAAGGAGATCAGTCACTCGCGGATGCTGAGTCTGTGTGATGAGCCACAGAGGAAAGAAAAGACAGTTGAAAATAATTGGTTATTTGATCGCTAAGTTCCTACTCGATGGAGATTAACACAGGTAATTAGTGCTTTGAGTACAGGTGGGGGACTGGTTAATCGGCTCAGGGTGGTGACATACTATCTACTATGTGATGATCTTGTTTCTGATAGACTAGTCAAGAAGGAAAACTGTTGATTTTCTCTACTTTTACCTTGAAACTGAAGAGTCGTAAGGCTCGGGGGGGGGGCTGTGTAAAATAATTTGTCTTCACTCAAATCAGTCCTCCCACCTGAGAATCTCAAAAGAGCCCAAAAGAACGGGACGAGGGGTGAATTTTGCAGGTGCCCAGAGGTTTACTCCATACCGATGGTCCTACCCTGACCTGACTCCGATCCGGGGAAGTTGGGCAGAAAGTGAGAGTCAGGGAAACGATGCAGCATCCGATTAATTACCCACGGGGAGGGATCACTATCAACTTGGTCCGATGTTTTGTTAAGCAGAGGCTTTCGCTGGCTGTCGTGAAAATTCAGACCTGAAAAATCTCTGTATTCGATAGCCTCTCCAGTCGGGCAATAAGATAAAAATTGTTGTGCGCGTTCTTCACTGAGCTGCTAGACGTGCCATGTGGGTGGGCTATGCCTGTGTCACTAGTAGGCCAGCGGTTGTTGTACTGCCCTGTATAAGCCATGTGAGAAAAACGATACACCACATCTCTAGGCGCAAGCAAGCATAATAGTCGTCTCTCCTTACCGTGCTTCATCAAGCCAGGGCATAGGAAACCGAGAAAGGAGAGAGAATCATGGGGGACTCCGGGATAATGGTGATGAGATACGCGGCTTGTAAAGAAAAGGTGGAAGGGTGGGAAGAGGATGCCATTAAAAATGCCCTACATTATGTGAAGGTAATGAGAAACCAGGCACTAGAGACGGTGAGGGAGTAAACATTCATCGAGTATGTTGTCTATTTCTACGGAATTGATGGAAAACTGCACAGCACGCTTTCCTCCGTGGAGATTGTTAATCAAGCACGAGAGGCCATCAATAACTAATAATAAGGGAGGAAAGAGAGGAATACTTAATAAATACTGGTGTGATATTACTAGAATGAACTGACTTGGTGGGAGTCACGTAGCAACACTCAGTTCTCAGTCAGCAACTTTCAACAGCATTCGGTTTCAAGCAGTTTCCAGATCAGCAATCAATCAGTTTCCAAATCAGTAATCAATCAGTTTCCAGACCAGCAATCAATCAGTTTCGAGATCAGCAATCAATCCGTTTCCAGATCAGCAATCAGTCAGTTTTCGATTTCCAACCGAGCGTCCAGTTGGTTTGAGTAAAACTTCATCCAATCAAGTAACTTTCACTCAACACTCGACTGAAACTCAACCGACATTCAATCGTTAGAAGTGCATGCAATTTTCAGTCTGAACCAAACGACTTTCAAAGAGAACGTTGAGCCATCAGGGTCTGACTAGCAAAACAGGCAATCCAAAATACATCGTTTAGTGGAGTCGGGTGAGCCGAGGGAATTATTGGAAACTAGCAGTAAAATCATTCACCACATGAGTACAGTACAATCGCTCTCTGTCCCTGAGGCTGTTCTCTCTAGCCTCAATCAAGTCGCTTCTAGGGACTCTTTTCGGTATCAGTATGTCAGTGCAGTTCGCTTCAGGCAAGAAGAGCTGTCTGTTTTTGTGGTTCACACTGTGTTCGCTCGAGGAACGATTCATGACTTGAGACCCTATGTGAGGAAGGGGAAAAAGAACCATGAGCACCTTGACTCAGTTTGGATTGCAGCAACTAAGTACCTTGAGGAGAGGGAAAGAGAGTTAGACGAGAGTGGTACCAAGCTGATTCGCAGCTTTGGACCCAAGCTTTACGCCGACTATCCCAAGCCTCCAGTACCTTTTACTCTGAGAGACGGCTCTCACTGGGGTGACCAATTGACCTCGCCAAAAGGTACATTTCTCCATCCACGATCGACTACGAGGCAATCACAGAGCCATCTGAGTTCTCGCATCTCAGACGAGGGATTTTCTCTCAGCCGTATCTTCCTACACTATGGGAGGAGTTTTGTGCCATGGTTGACTTCCGTATCATGGGACTTGGATGAAAGTGCTCGGAACTAGCAGGCTTCAGGTGGCTCTACATTCAGAGGCTGCAGACTCAGAAAGTATGGGGACATGGATCAAGGCACAGGAAACGCACAGCAAAATGAGACTGAGAGTGTGACCCGGAGGGATGAGTGAGGACTTGAGATCTGTGCTAGCCATGCTCTTTTCCATATGTACTCTCTGAGATTATTACGAGTTCTCATTCTTCCCTCATCTGACTTTGTCTTGCTTGAGTCAGTCAGTTTTGCTTCTTTGCATTGCCATGCTGGATGATTGCATTCTTTAATGATTCTGTCACAGTTCTCAACATTCCATAATTTTATGATTATTATTTGCATAACTTTCTACGGTTCCGAATCAAAATAAAGATTCCTAAGACCGGGGACCGACGAAGACCGCAATTGAAGGGTCTCGCTCGAAGCCGGACGCACACAACAGGAAGGGATCTGCATAATTTAATTTATTTTATTTATTGCAATCAACATTAAAATCCTGCGTGGCAGCATGTTGGCTTTCTGGTCGCCTCAAGTGGCTCGACTGGAAAAAGTGCGACAACGGTTCTCATAAAAGCTTCAGACACGTCGTTCAGTGAGTTAGTAAGAGCAATGGAAGCGTTCAGACTGGCATCAAAAATGAAGATTAATTGGAAGAAAACAATTGGCTGGTGGCTATCAGATGAGGCAGGCATGATATGGGAGACACCGGAGACCCCTACGCGATATCTAGGCATCTTGTTGACAAAGGAAGGTTTTGCCCCTCAGATGGCCCAAAATATACTCACAAAACAAATTAACAAACTGGGTAGATGGGGTAACACATCCACATCATTGCAAGGTCGTGCACTAGCCATCAGTACATCTATTTCTCAATGATGTGGTATATAGCACCAATCTGGACAGTTTCGGACCATACAATCAAGGAACTTGACCTTAAAGCAAGGGCATACTTGGCCGGGCGAGCCCAACAAAGAGAACTGCATACCAAAGATAGCTTGGCACTACATCACAAGGAAACCAGCCAAAGGAGGTCTTGGTATCATAGACCCCAATCAAGAAACCAAAGCCTTACAAGTTAAATGGATAATCAAACTACCGACTAAACCTGGTACGACATGGAATAAACTGGCTTTGGATAGCATCAGGGGCCTAGCACCCATAGCCACACCAGCAAACATGTTCGGTTTGTTTTGGGTAATGACCAAGGAATGGAGTCCAAGTACAGGGCGCAAAAATCAACGAAGAGGAACCGGTCCAAGCGAAGCCAGGCCTCCTACACCATATTGGACTGCATTGCTATGGATATGGCGGGAACTCATGCCGAAGAAGGTGGTACTGAGGCAACCTTTGTTTGGTAATCCGTGGGTGAGAGACGAAAGTGATCACCAACTATTCCTTAAGCCTAGACGTAGGAGATGGCTATCTTGGATCAAACATGGTGTTTGGAAAGTGAGTGATTTTGTGGAATGAGGAAAAAAAGGATTGGGTGACAAAACAGGAAGTTGCCTCCCAGATGAAAATCTACAATCCATTATCAACTGCATCAACTGCGTCCCAGAAGGATTGAAGGAATTGTTGAGTGAAGTCTCAACTTGGAAATCGGGTGAATGGGGGGGTGAGGGTACATGAGTTAACCCGATCAAGGGCCTATCAATTCTCCCATAAACAACATGGATCGGATACCTTGGCGGTGTTTACTTCTTTCCCAATTACCCCCTCTACGCAAGGCCTTCCATCTATCCTTAATCAAGAGGTGGAAAGAACAATCCTTAACCCTTTCGTGCTCAGAAAAGTAAGAGTGTTGGGATCATGGCCAAAAACAATCTTCAGAACAGATACGACGATTCAAGACTTGGAATTTGATCCAGTAGAGTGGGCTTGGACACCAGACAAGTAGAAGCCTCAAAACGAATGTCCCCATTCAGGAATACACAGTAAAACCGAGATACAACTTGCTCCTCAAAACAAAGGATCCTGACCCAACGATCAAGAACAGAGGGCATAAGTTAATAGATCAAGACGCTAGTTACATCCCACAAATACCATGGAAGAAATTCAAGTCAATCCGCCCGGTCAAAATCAGAAGCCTCCAATGGCTCATCTCATATGTAGCTCTTCTGGTTAACCAGTGGCTGCATATCTGAAGTAAGAACGCCCCTAACAGTTCAAATTTATGCACGGTATGTTCAAAAAATGAACCAGAAGATATCCTACATCGCCTGAAACGCTGTAGAGAGGTGGTATGGGCGGAGACAAGGACCCTGACTCAAGCGGAGATACTTTGCAAGTGGCACAAGACAAGACAATCCATGCCAGATGACGAAGAGCAACATAAGAGAATCAAGGCAAACTTCACTGAGGTGTGGCTTGCAAGGGGCGAAGTGGCAGAGATGATTGACTCTCGCTTACGGTGGAAAGACTGACACAACTCAGAAGCAGGGAGGAGAAGGCAGAGTTCCCAGCCAGCAGAAGGACTAGCTTCATCACAGGTCACATAATGTTGGAGGGCGTAATCCGATTTTGCATCTTCAGTGGCTTTTTTTACCTTTCTTGCTTTTTATCATTTATCTGACAGGTCATGCAGTAGACCTGAGAGGAAAGGAGGACGTAAGGCAAGCTGATAATTTATCGTCCACGATGTTGGAGTAATCAATGCTGGTCAGGGATCCTTCGACCGGACGGAAGGAAGCGTGAGTGGGTTTCATGATGTAATATTTTATTCTGACTTGCCGGTGGAATAGGAACCGGACTGATGCTCCCCAAAAAGGAAATGGAGCCGGGCCCATACGGACCCGTTTTATCAAAAAAAAAAAAAAAAAACTAAACCGAGAACTCGTTTCTTTTCAGTTGTTTCGGACTGATGCTCCCCAGAATAGAAATGGAGTCGGACCCATAAGGACCTGTTTTATTAAAAAGGAAAAAAAAAAAAAAAAAAAAAAATCGAGAACTCGTTTCTTTTCAGTTGTTCTTGCTGTAAAAGTTGCATGTATCGTGGAATTTATCTTTGTCTTTTTATTTATTTATTGTGCGGTAGATACACTTCCGGAAAATAAATTCTCTATGGAAATGTTTGCGTGCCTCCATCTTAAACCACCAGT